TACAGCCTTTTCCCTTCTGGTGCGTTGCTTGTCCTCCTGGGAGTTGTACAGCCCCTTTTCTGTGCTTGGTTGGATCTCCATGTACTTAGGATTGGCGCCCATCCCACCCTCTGCCCAGCGTCAGTGTCTATCGCTCACACCTTCACTGAGATACCTTCCTCTGGAGTCCAGCCCCCCATCCCCCAACCCAGACTGGGCACCTCTGACCCTGAGGTCAGTTTCCCATCATCCTGGGCCTTCCCGCTTTCCTGACCCCATCTTTCCCTTTCCCCATCTGCTGCTTCGTTTTCGTGGAGAACATCCTCTAGTCACTTCCTGGGAGAGGGGACAGGAGAGGTAAATTATAAAAAAAAAATCTCCCTTGCCCGAAAATTATTATTCTCCATTTACACTAGATGGTTTCACTGTGCATAGCTCTAGATTGGAAACATCTTTCCCTCAGAATTTCCATTGCAGAGGTTAGAGGATGCTGTGTGTCCAGCCTCAGCACAGTCTTGGCATGTAAGTGTATGGCAGTCAGTTTCATTTTTATTACTGTTCTTAATAGCTTCGAGTGGTGCTGTTACACCCTTCTGACTCCTGATTCTTTTGTGCACGACGTCCCCTGGACGCACTTGGCTCTCTGTGTGTCTGCAGCCCACAGCTGGCGAGGGCTCATCTTCATCCACTGGGCTGGATGTGAAATGGGGGCCTTTCAATGTGAAGACTCACTTCCTACAACTCTAGGAAACTTTCTTATTATTTCTGTGAATTTTTTTTGCTGCATGTCCTTATTCTTTCCTCCCCTTTTCTCTTCCTCTGTCCTGTCTCTTACCCGTTTTCAGAGCAATTTCCTCGAGTCTGTCCTTCCACCTTTCATTAAACCTTTATTTCTCCTTTTTTTAAAAAAATTGAAGAGCATTTCCTGGTTCTCTGAATGTGCTTTTAATAGTGCCCTTACCATCTATCTCCTCTGTACAGTCTTTCTACTTCTCTGGGGTGCTAACCATGTTTTATTTTGCTTTGCCGTCTCCGCCTTCATCATCCTGTCCTGTCTTCGGAGCCCTTCCCTGTGTTTCCTTGTGCTCCGTGTCCTGTCTGGTAGCCCAGCCCCTCAAACAGCAGGTGTTCCTCGGCCAGCTGTTACTCCTTAGGATGAGGAACTACACGCCTCCAGGAAGCTGGAAAAAGTTAGGAGGGGAACCTGTAACTTTATTCCAATGGTGTTTTGAATAAGAAATTCTATATACTTTAACTAAAGCATCTATTTTCTAGAGTTAAAAAATGCCTAATTTTCAAAAAAATCCAAAAGGCATTAATAAAAAGTAGAATTACCACTTACCTCTGTATTCATTATAAGTGATCTTCTACCTGAGAAGTCTTTATCAGCTCAACTGCTGTCCCTTCCAGGAGCTAATTATATTTTTAAACTGAAAATTAATCATCTAAAATCTCAGTACCCTTCAAAAACAAAAACTTGAGGTGCTAGAAAGCTGCTTGAAGGGTCTCTGAAATGTTGGTGTGGGTCTGGGCTCGGGGGGGGGGGACTCTGAGCGGCCCCTCCTGTGGGTCCTGCCAGCATGGAGCCCATGCCCCGCCCCAGCCCTCCAGTTCCATGTTTAGGGTGTAGGCTTGCCCCTGGCTTGTTCCCATGGCACCTCCCTCCCCCAGAAGTCCGCAGGCCCCTCCATCCATGCAGGGCGGAGGGGACCTGGATCGTCTGACAGCCTTCAGCCTGGCCTGTCTCTCTGGCAACACTGCCCCCCACAGCTGGGCAGCCCCAAATCCCCACTTGGATTTCAGAGCTGCGAGGTCCACCTCCCAGCTGGCTGGCATGGGAGGGCCTGCCACCCCACTGTTTTCCTGCAGCCCCCGGGTGCTTTCCGGGTCGGCTCACAGTTCCAGGCAGAGCCGGCCAGCCCGGCACCTGAGCTGGCATCATGGGCCTATTGAGGACTGGGGCGCCATGGAAAAGGCTCATTGCTGGCTCCGGGGACAGACATCTGTTAGCTGGCCCAGCAGTGGCTTTGGGCTTTTTGTCAGGTTTGTTTTTCTCAGCTCGAATTCTTATCCCCATGTAAGACCTGGAAACCTTCTCCTGTCAGGCTGTGTGTTCTTTCCCAGTATCATAAACAAAGGATGTAAATATTGCCAGGTGTGTCTCAGATGGTCACAGAAGCCGCCACGTTCTAGACCTGGGCTGTCACGGTGCCAGTGTGGGTTTGTCCTGGCGAGACAGTGGCCCAAGTCCAGAGCAGCTGCTGGCAGGACAGGCCACCTCGAAGAGTCACTACTCTACCTGAAATGGAAATTTGACTTCGGAATTGTTTTCCATAAAAGGGGACTCAGTGACTGACAGCCTGAAGTGCACGTTCAGCTCCATGTCCACCTTTAATCGGAAGTGGGGGGACAGGTGCTGTGTCACGTGACATCTGATGCTGCTTTACCATGCCCCAAATTCAGACTCCTCACACACCTGGGCTGTTGGAGGACCCCCCGTGAAGTGAGTGGTTCTTTGCTTAAGCCTGGCGTCCCATGAGGGCCCAGCCTGTCTTCCCTCTCCCATCCCCTCAAGAGACACACGTGTGTGTTTGTACTTCAAGGACTTTTTTTCTGGCTTTGCTTATTGACAGGGAGCTTTTCAGTGGAATACGATGAAGTTCCCATGTTGGACACTGACTGCCTTGGTCAATGGCCCCCACCCCTTGGCCCGTCTCCCCGGAGGCCCGGCTCTGAATTGAGTATTTTACAGCCCGACGACACTCCCCTTACGTGGCATCTAGCCTGCCTCCTTCCCCTCAGGAGGTGTGATGTCAGGGTGGCCGGGTACCAGGCACGGCCCTTGGCCGAGGCCAGCTGAATGGGGTGTATTGAGAAGCTAGCTGCTCTGAGGCCGGAAAGGCCGTGTGTGCAGACGCACGTTCCCCCGGCTTGGCCTGCTGGGCAGGCTCTGGGGATCGGGCTCTGCCCAGCCATCCCTGTTTGCCGAAACTTCGCCAGAGACGGTTCGTCAGCATAAGCCGCCCAGCACAGCCAGCGTGGGGCAGAGGCCGGCCTGTTCCTATGTGTGAGTGAGCTTTACAGCCTGTCGCTTCCATTTGAAAGCGTTCTATGGGAAAGGAAGCCATCTCTCTGGGTTTTGCCTTCTGAGGGTTAGATAAACATTTTTTATGATCCTTTACAAAATATGACCTGGGACGGGCAGCATGGCCCACATGCCTAATCCCAGGAGTCTCTGTGTCCCCTCCACCAGTAAAGGCACCCTGTCGTCTCACGCAGGATCAGGAATCTGCCTTCCACCAGGTTGGATGTGAGCCTGACTCCAGGAGGGTGGTGTGTTCCTGCCGGTTCTCGGCCCTGTGGTCCAGAGCACGGCCTCATGTGCGGTTTGTCTGTGTTCAGGTCCAGTAGGGACGCTGAGTGGCCGGGAGCAGGGGAGCTGTCGGCAGCGCCTGGCAGAAGGCAGCCCAGAGAACCTTCAGGAAAAGCCCCCACACCAGGCCGCGTGTCCACGGAGCACTTGGTTCCCAAGTGGACGCATTTGAAGAGCCTGGTTTTGAGTGTGTGATGATGTCACTAGCACGGTCCCTTCTGCCTCCTGCCCAACTTTATAAGCTTGGGTTTGGTGTGTCTGGTTCAGAATTAAATTCAAAAACTGCTTTTACCCTCGCTTCCTACCTCTAACAAGCTCTCTCACAATTGTTGGGTAAAGTTTCTGTCCTCACAGCACGTGCCTGTCTCTACCATATTTGGGGACTCCAGTGGAGAAGAGACCAAGAATCCCCAAATCAGGGCCCTTACAATTGTATTTGGCTTACACAGCAGATTCATTACTGGGCAGGGATACCGACCGTGGTTGAATTTCTCATTCATATCCATCACCAAGCAGTTCTCAGTCACAGCACTTGATTCTTTCATGCACCCTTCCTCCATCAGTAGCGATTTCTTGCTCTCTCCCACCTGCCGTGTGCTATAGATAACCCCCCGCCCGAGGGAGGCCCACATGTAAACCGGGGTCACCATCCTGGACCCGTGAGAGGAGGAAGGTTCCAGCATCCAGGAAAGGGGATGGGGATAACGTTTGAGCTGCAGCTGTGGGGGTTTTAGAGGTATCTTCTTATTCAGACATGATGGGGGCGCCTGGAAGACAGGACACAGAAGCGCATGGGGCGTGACCAGATGGCTCTGGGTGGGGCATTGGCTTTGGAGGCGTTTGTGCAGGCAGGGCCTCCTGTCCCCACGATTGATAAGTGGGAGGAGGGGGACCTGTGGTTCCATGGGGACAGGTGACCATGGGACTCTGGTTAGCTCCCAGCAGAGGCACTTTTTGCCTGGGTTTGTTGCCCACTGTTAGTGCGTTTGTTGGTTTTCTCTGAATATCTTGTAATAGAATTTTCAGGATCAATATTTTGATGTGGTTTGATAAGCAAAATCCACGGTGTTACTGAGAGGAAATAGGCCTAAGCCTGTGGCTGGGGAGCCAAGCCCCTTTGGGGTTGGCCGGCAGGGGTGCGGGCCTCATATCCCAGGTACCGGCTGAGGACTGGCCTCCAGATGGGCGCGGCCTCAGAGGAGGAGCCCGAGAGGTTTCCAGCCATGTGTTTGGCTGCAGTTTCAACCTAGGATTGTCACTGCAACCCAGGAGAGCCTCCTGCTGCCCAGAGATACCTGGAGGGCCAGTGAGGCTTTCATCCAGCAAGTACATATGTCACACGTGCCTTCTGGTTCCCTGACCTTTGCTCACAGCGCCATCGTGTGGACGAGGGAGCTCTAGGCAGTGGGCTGTTGGGCTGTCCTGCCCACAGTGTCCTCTGCCTGCATCCTTGGTCGTGGACCCTGTAATGTGGCTCTGGTCACAGTTGGCCCTCCTTTATCAAGCGTTGGTGCAGTGTCATGGTAGCATCCTGTCGTGAATTTATCTTCCCCCATCCCCCACCATCCAGGGAGGTGCTGAAATCCTGTTTCCTACACGAACTCCTCCTCAGGATCGTGATCTTATGACGTGTCTTTTCTCTCCACAGTGTTCCCAACTCCTGCCCGGCCAGTCCACGTGGAGCCGGGTCCTCCGGCTACCGCTTTGTCCAGAACGTGACCTCGGACCTGCAGCTGGCAGCAGAGTTCGCTGCGAAGGCCGCCTCAGAGCAGCAGGCTGACACGTCTGGAGGGGACAGCCCCAAGGTCTCAGTGGGCCGCATGGGGACGGGGCGTGCGGGCGGGGCAGGACTCCAGTGACCACAGTGGGGGCCACTCCCCTTCCCTGCCCATGTCGTGCACTTTGCTCATGTGCTCAGGAGCGTGTAGGCACCATGGACAGTGCTCCCCCCTGTTTCCTGTTCAACCTGCTGTTGACTGAACAGTCTCGGTGTTTTAATAACAGTCTGAGAAAAACGACAGGTTTTTTTGCCTTACGGCTCCTTAGTTTGAAGCGAGCACATTGACGGAGCAGGTGTAGGTCACCGGGGCTGGTCCCAGTAGACACACTGTTGAGTTCCTGTCCCTACCGGGAGGGCTTCTTCACCCCGAGGGGACAGGTGGGTCGGTTGGACTTGGGAACATGTCTCGGGCTCACCCCGCAGTGTCTGTTTCCCTCAGGACGAGTCGAAGCCGCCGTACTCCTACGCGCAGCTCATTGTGCAAGCCATCTCCTCGGCGCAGGACCGGCAGCTAACACTAAGCGGCATCTACGCCCACATCACCAAGCATTACCCCTACTACCGGACGGCCGACAAGGGCTGGCAGGTGAGGCTCGCGCCGGGGCCTGGCCCGAGTCAGCTTTCTTAGAAAGAGAGATTCCTCCAGATGAGCAGGACAGGGGCAGGGATGCTGTCCTTGGAGACCTGCAGTAGATCTACAGTGAGTTGCACCCCAGTGAACCCAGAATAGTCTTTCCTCCCTCTGAGGTCCAGAAACGTGAAGATTGGTGCATCTGCCTTGTTACACTTGTGTGCCGTATGCGTTACAATCCTGTGCTGATTTGGAAATACGCCATCCACGTTACTCACAGCCATCCGCATGTATAAATGGTGTGGCTTTCTTTGTGTGGGATCCTAAGACCTTCGTCTGCGTTGGGCATAACCAACATGTCGCACTCATTTATATATCTCCATAATTGTCTTTCCTGTTTGCTCATGGACCCAGCGCAGGTGTTGAACTGGGCGCGCTCCTCAACCCTGGCTTGCCTTTGTCTTGCTTTTTCTATAAAGCGTGATAGTGACAGTGCGCTGAATTTTGATGGGAAAAACTACCTGTGCCTTTCTCTGCACCTCCTCGTGATACACAGTTAGTTACCTGGCCAGCCCACAGGGAGCCCTCGCTGGCAGGAAGCCCGGGCTGCTGTCACCTGTGGTCTCTCGTCATCGCGTTCTGAGATGGACGGGTTGGGGTTCATTTTCTGATCTGCTGCTGATTGGTGACTGTCTGCTTCCCTGCAGAATTCTATCCGGCACAACCTCTCCTTGAACCGCTACTTTATTAAAGTCCCTCGTTCCCAGGAGGAGCCTGGGAAGGGGTCTTTCTGGCGAATAGACCCTGCCTCGGAAGCCAAGCTCGTGGAGCAGGCCTTCCGGAAACGGAGGCAGAGGGGCGTCTCCTGCTTCCGCACCCCCTTCGGGCCTCTGTCGTCCAGGTAAGCCCGGCTTCCCCAGGTGTCCGTGTTCACACTGGCATTTGGGGCACTTGAAACCCGTCACCTTTTCTTTTTCTGAGGGAGGATACCTCAGGACCAGTGAAACCTGCAGTTGTCAAGCCAGTAATCTGCTGGCCACCCGTCTAATGTGTCAGTTCTTAGAAGCTGAACTGTGCGCAGCAGTGGGAATGGCGTCTGCAAATGGGGACGGGGGTGAAACAGGTACAGCTACAGTGACGCTTGTAGCATGAGGTTTTCTGTTGGAGAGACACGGCGAATAATCACCCCCTTCCCTAACGGATGGAGCACTGCGCCTCAGGAAGGACAGACGGAAGCAGAGCTCAGACAGACTGTCAGCCGTAAAGCAGATGTCGGGATGGAGCCCCTGTCTCCCTCACCCCGTCCCCAGCGGCACCGCCTGCCCCCCAGGCCCAGGCCTGTCCTGCTGCACCTGTGTGTGGCCAGCATGGTCCAGAGGGGCGCAGGCTGCGTGCAGACAGGCCCAGTGGTCCTGCGATGATCACCAATCCAGGGAAAAGCGTGGGTGAAGAGATGGAAAGATGGATGCTCTCAGAAACCCTCCCAACTAGAAGGAAATGTTAGCATCTGATGCTCTCCATTTCCAGATGGTGTTTCAAACACAAGTATACAAAGACGCTTCGATATTCAGAAATGAATTTGTGGTACAGGGTCTGTTGTAATTTTCACTTGTCTTATCAAAGTAGAAATTGGAACTAAGGTGAATTGGTCATATAGGTAAGGTAGGGATTCAAAGAAGTGTTTAATGACATTTGGGATGCATCAGCTGAGCTCACATTTTCCAAAGCACCACATTGCTTAACTAGGAATGTGGAAAGCAGTTTTGTCAAACTGGTTAGTTTCCTGGGGCTGCCACAACGAAGTACCGCAAACTGGCAGCTTACACAACAGAAATGTAATCTCTCCCGGGTCTGGAGGCTGAAGTGTGGGGTCAGGTGTGGCCAGGGCTTCCCTCTGAGGCTGGGAGGGAGGACCTGCTCCGGGCCTGTCCCCAGCTCCTGGGGGTTTGCTGGCCATCTCTGACGTTCCATGGCTGAGGACGCGTCACCCCACCCTCAGCCTTCATCTTCACATCGTGTTCTCTGTGTGCATGTCTGTGTCCACATGTCCCCTTTGGACATCTGGTCACTGGATTAGGGCCCACCCTCCTGACATCATCTAACCTGGTCACGTCTGGGAGGATCCTCTGTAAAAACCCTGCCTCCAGGAAGGCCCCCTTCCAGGGCACCAGAGGTTAGGATCCCAACATATCTTTTTGGGGACAGTTCAACCCATAGCAGTGCCGGCACATTTTTCACTTGTAGATCACCCCGTGACCAGCTAGGGGTTACTTCCTGGGGCTTCTCTGTGTGCCTAGCACTGCCCAGGAAACACTGTGTAAGGGGTGTCTGTGAAGGTGAACCCATCCTCGAGGCCACACTGCAAGCCGGGGATCCCTGAGCTCATGTAGACTTTGCACAGGGTATCGAGATGGGGGACTCTCAGTGCAGGAGGATGGGGTAACAGAAGCTTTGGTGTGGGCTATGGCCTAGATGTGTGCTGGGGGCAGAGGGCTGGCAGGAAACAGGATTAGCTGGGTAGAGGAAAGCTGGATCAGAGACACCCAACAGGAGTTTGTAACTGAGTGCCGTTATAGACTCGAGGGTGGCAATGACTCGGTCACTCCCAGCCTGAGCGTCGGAATCCGCAGACAAGGACTCCACGCCTGGATGGAGCACAGACCAGCGAGGCAGGGAGGCGGGAGAAGCAACAGGCTAGACTGGAGGAGACAGAGGGAGCCGGGTCTCTGCCTGTGGAGACCGTGGAGACGCAGCACCCCCTTGTCATTGGGGAGACAGGGTGTGTGTAATGTGGGTCATAGAGGCAAAATGAAAACCAATCCCCCAACTGCGTCTGGGGAGCCCCAGCACCCTGCCTCTGTGAGTTTGTGTTGATCCCATGCATGTTCGGGGCACGGGGGGACCATGTGTCCTTGTGTTACTCATGCTTGACGGTACCCTAAGCAGAAAGTCCCAGTGCTACACAGTCCAGGCAAGCGCCAGCTGGCAGGAACTGGACCAGGACGAGCAGTGCCGGGGTTCCGGGGCGGCAGGCTTCCACCGGGAGTTACTCTGCGGGACAGCGCGTTGTTCTTTCTGCTGTAGACTTGTCCTGCTGGGAAATGTGTGCCTGTCTCACAAAGCTTATGTTTATAACAGAAGAGGGAGCCACGGTCCCGGGAGACCAGCTGGTCCCTTCTGGATGTCGCTTTTGCTGGAGCTGCAAACAGTGCAGTCCCCGCCGTGTGCTGGGCTGCTCTTACGATTGTCGGGTGGCAAGTTGTCACTGCAGGAGTGTTAGTGTTGGAAACCTCCGTGAGGACGGAGGAGCTGGGCACGGGCAGACATGGATGTGCACACACCTGTGTTTCACGCTTTCTGAGCGGCGTTTCCTGTCTCCGCGTGTTTGCTTACTGCCGCGCCCCCTTCTCCCCTGTTTCTTAGGAGTGCTCCAGCTTCACCCACTCACCCAGGGCTGATGTCCCCTCGTTCCAGTGGCCTGCAGACTCCAGAGTGCCTGTCTCGGGAGGGCTCCCCCATCCCACATGACTCTGACTTTGGTTCAAAGTTAGCTGCTGTTCCCGAGTACCGGTATTCCCAAAGCGCACCCGGTGAGAGCGGGTTTGTCCTTGTCTGCTGTGGCGGAACCCATCATCGGGCCCTGGTGGGGAGCGCCTGGCGTGCCCGCTGACCTCATGCCCTTTGTCTGTGCAGGCTCTCCCGTCAGTGCCCAGCCCGTGATCATGGCCGTGCCTTCCCGACCTCCTAGTTTAGTGGCTAAGCCCGTGGCCTACATGCCAGCATCCATAGTGACGGCACAGCAGCCCTCCGGCCATGCGATCCACGTCGTGCAGCAGGCCCCCCCTGTCACCATGCTCAGGGTCGTCACCTCCTCCGCCAGCTCTGCCAATGGGTACATCCTCGCCAGCCAGGCCTCAGCAGGGGGCTCCCACGAAGCGGCGGGCACAGCTGTATTGGACCTGGGCAGTGAGGCGAGAGGTAATGTAGCCATGTGGATACTTGCTGAGTGTCCAGGAGGTTGAGCCGTCAGCCTGGGCCTTGGGGACTGAGCCCCGGCGTCGGGGTCAGAGCCAGTGGCTCAGGCTGCTGCTTCTCCCTGCCACTTGATGTTTGGGGCATATGTCCTTTTGCATCAGCGCTAGTCGTCCTCCAGAATGCATCCCTCCTCGTGTGACTGCCTTCGGGTGCGTGGAGCCCCTGAGGGCACTCGGGGGCTGCCCAGACCTGGAGCCTAGAGGACAAGTTCTCTCGAGCCCCCAGTGAGGAGCCCTTAGCAGTCATTTAAAGTAAAAGGGGTTACAAACCTGGGTCCCAGGGAATTGATGGGGTAAATAGTGAGGATGAAGGTGGGACCTGGGGAGGCCCGCAGGCGTCGCTGGGAGCCAGGCAGCATCTGCTGGCCTCGCTCACCACGGGCTGATCTCAGTGTCACTTCTAGTGCTGTCATGTGACAGATGCACTAGATAAAGAACGCTAAGTTATGGCTCCACATGCAAATTGCCTCATTCTAAGTAATTCATCTTCCTTCTCACATTACTTTTGGGTTGGTTAAAGTTTAAGGTATTTACATTTTTTTCTAAAACCCTGTTAATTGTTCTTGTTTCAAACCTTATCTCATTAGTGGGATTTTTCTTTTGAGGACCAGATTTTTTCCCCAGTGTCAGTGCCTCAAAACCACCACTTGCTTTCCCCAATAATGGCCATCCTGCCACAGGGGGTCCTCACGCACGCTCTTCCCACAGGCTTGGAAGAGAAGCCCACCATTGCGTTTGCCACCATCCCTACCGCCAGCCGGGTCATCCAGACAGTGGCCAGCCAGATGGCCCCAGGGGTCCCCGGACACACGGTCACCATCCTGCAGCCGGCCACCCCGGTCACCATTGGGCAGCATCACCTTCCGGTCCGGGCCGTCACTCAGAATGGAAAGCACGCTGTCCCCACAAATAGCTTAGCCAGCAGCGCTTACGGTGAGTCAGCCCTGCCGGCCTCCGAGCCCCGGCTTAGCCTGTGGTTTAGTCCATAGTCAGTGCAGCAAGAGAATGTTCTTCCAGTTAATCCCATTGGCTAGTCGGTGCAGTCCGTGTTTTTGAGCACCTGCTATGCTGCAGGCACTGTGATAACGCTGAGGAAAGAGAGTCCCCATGTCACAGATCTCACACACTCCTGGGTGAGACAGACAGATCCAGGCGGGACATCAGACAGCTCCTCTTGGGGGTTGGAGTGGGGGCAGGGTTCAGTTTTCAGTTGGATGGTTAAGGGCAGGTGGCATTTGTTACTAGAGGTGAGGGCAGGAGCCTTCGGGGTATCTAGAAGGTTCCACACGGAGCAGTAAGAGCGAGAGGAAGACGCTGGAAGGGACCAGGGACGGTGTGCCCCTTAGGTGGAGAGGGCCAGGGTCAGAGAGGGAATGGCGCACGGGAGTCCAGCCTGGAGAGAAAGCTGGCTGAGGTTGGGGCTGTCGGGGGCTGGCACCCCAGGACTGCTGGTAGCTTTCACTAGAGGGGCCAAGGGTGTGCGGATCTGGGTTTCTGTGTGACTGACTTAGCCCTGGTGTAGCGACTTTGCTCTGCAGCCAGCACAAACCAGTGCTGGGCCTGCTCAGTTTCCCAATGTAAATCTCTTTTCCTCCACTGCCAGCCCTCACGAGCCCCCTGCAGCTCCTTGCCGCCCAGGCTAGCTCGTCCACTCCGGTGGTGGTCACCCGGGTGTGCGAGGTGGGGCCCGAGGAGCCAGCAGCAGCCACCAGCACTGCCACCCCAGCCACCACTGCCGCCACTGTCTCTTCCACTGGGGAGCCCGAGGTCAAAAGGTCCCGGTTGGAGGAGCCCAGTGGGACTGTCACCACGCAGGCTGGGGTGATCACGGCTGCCGGCCCACAGGGGCCTGGAACCGGGGAGTGAAGCCGCCCGCGTGGAGGTGGAGTGGAACGCACGCCTACAGGAACTCGGAGCTGCCATCGTCGTCACTCGGGCCCATGATGACAGAGCTTCACACTGGCCGAAGCACGGTGCCAAGCGGGCAGGACGGCCTCCGTCTACCTGCACCTGGACACGCTTCCTGCTTGTCATTTATCCCCTGCTCCTGCTATAGTTTAAGACAAACACGTAAACAGTTCAGACAGCGGATTGTAAGATTCTGGGAATTCTTTGTTTCTCTTTCCTTCCTTTGCACCATCTTTTCTCCCCAGGCCTTTTGTCAGAGGGCATGGGGGAGAAGGTTGCGGCCCAGCGTCTCAAGGACTGGACCCCAGGCAGACCCAGCCACAAGCAGAGCCCAGGCTCCCAGAGCAGCCTTCACCCCGGGAGGACTGGACAGAAACGCAGCCTGGGACACAGGCCTCCCGAGGGACAGGACGAGGACGGGATGCATTCCTGTTTGTCGTCCATTGGGAATAGTCAAGAGAAAAACGAACTGTCACATTTTGGACTGTGCTACGATGTTTTCTCCCTAAAATGGTGACACAGAAAGTACCAGAGTGGCATTAATCGGGGGGAGGGGAGGGATCTGGTTTGGCTTTGGATCCCAAATAATTCCTGCTTTGTTAAGACGTGGACTTCGGCTTAATCATAAATCTGAAACAGACACAAAACGGATCATCTGTTTTTGAGGTTTCATCTGTAGATGGTGTCACAACTGTAGATGTGGGTTCTTACTGGCCTTAGTCCCCTGGAAGAGTAAAGCTGCCCCACGTCTCTACCTTCAAGAGAGGTCGCCGGCTTCCTGGATTGGTATTGGAGGCAGAATGCTGTGTGGGTCACAGGTCAGAGCCAGCGGGCTGCCGCATCCTGCCCCTGATGCTGGCTGCACCTGCCTGGCAGGGCCTCGGAAAATTGGCAGCTGGGGCTCCTTGGGGAAGGCGGTCACCAACTGGACATGTGGATTTTCATGGACGTGTTGCTTTAAAAACGAAGGGCGAGCCCTGTTTCTCTGTGGTTCTGACGCCCCGGCACCCCACGGCACACACAGCAGAGCACAGTCGCTCACTGCTTTTTCACTGAGTTCTCCACCCCAAGGCTCAGCTACTGTTCTAAATCGGAACCGTCTCTTCTGCCCACAGCTGCGGGGGCCCCGGGGTCAGTCAGCCACTGGGCCCAGCTCTTGCTGACTTGGTTGGTCTTTTCTGTGACATGGTGAGTGCCAAGGGCAGCACGCTCCGGCAGGGGGCACCAACTCCCCTGAGAGGGACCCCTGCACTTGCAGACGCCCTGCACCAATTTGGAGCTGTCACCAGAGCAGGAAGTGAGCCTGAGCTGTCCTCTCACAGCCCAGTATGGGGCCAGACTGTAGTCCTCCAGCTTCTCTTAGAGAACATTCTCAGGAAACGGTTAAGTGCGTCCCTGTGCAAAGTGACTTTGAAAGTCCTCTAGACACCGGCGCTGGTTCTTCTGGTGGTGGACAGCTAGAAACAACCAACTGCATGGCGCGCCGAAGGCCCAGCCAAACGGTTTTTCCCTACACGCAGCCTGTCCTCAGCATTAGTCCCTCAAAGGCAAAGCTGCCTGCTCCTCCCTGAGCCCGATGGCAGTGCCGCCAAGAGACGCGCGGCTTCTGTGGCCACCGAGAGGAAGAGCTGCCGGCCTTCCCGGCCTGGGGCCCGGCGGGACAGGAGCTGGCTCAGAGGGAAGGGGAAGCGTGGGACGCGGTTTTGAGGCAGTGCAGGCAAGGTTGGCTTACGTGGCGACCTGAGCTGGTCGGAGGGCAGCGTGGAAACGACCAGCTTCGTCGCACTGCCAGCATTGTCCCCACACCCAGCCACCATCGTCAGTCACCGGGGACAAGTGCAGAGCATCCTCCGGTCCCCCTCCTCCTTCCTGGAAGTACCTGTTCTATGTTCTTGAAGCCCCAAACCAGTCGTTTCTATGGCACTAAACTTTAAATGAGAAATAAGCTCTTGGTGAAGTCTGCACCTCTTGCCTTCGGTGAGATTCCAGAGGGAGGGGTGGGATGAAAGCAGCTGGTGTGCCGTCCTCAGATGCAGTCACCGTCAATGATGAGAAGTCACGCTCCATTCCACATTGACGTTATCTGCTATTTTATGTGAACTGCTTTTAAAGTGTCTGGTGTGTGCGTGGGTGGGAGTGCATGCGCGCGCTGGGCCGAGGCAGCCCCGGGCCTCCACTTCAAGGGTCTGTAACGAGGGGCTTTTGCGGTCACCTATTGCTTCCCCTCCCTCCATTATCGTGTGTGGTGTGCTGCCGAGGGGGAATAGCATTAGCTCATGGACCAGCACGACTGCACAGGTTGCCCCTTGGGGAAGCGGCCTTGTCTGCAGAGACGGACAGGACAGCCGGCCACAGGATGATGTCAGGCTTTGCCCGATCTGATTGGTCTGGCTCTGACCCTTTTCCTGACCTTTGAGGTGTTCTGGTTTTCTGTCCATTTTCAGTGATGATCCCACTATGTGGGCAAAGGTTCAAGGAGAAGGGAGTGGAGAGAGGTAGGTGATTGGAAGAGGGCGCAGGAGAGGACAGAAGGTTCATCGGTGACATTCTGCCGCCTGGAGACCTTGTGCTGCTTTAGCTCATGCTGGAGCTGAGAAGAGACGGGGGGGGGGGGGTCAGCTGAGGCTCCAGGCAGGCGGGAAGGAGGACAGGGCCTTGGGGGACTGCTCCTGGGTTCGCAGACAGCTCCTGGAGGGGCTTGCGGGCACTGAGCAGACAGCAGACTGGGCCTGTGCCAGCACTGGGCCTGGGCCTGGTGGCCAGAGGCCCAGGAATGGCCAGCACCGCAGGAGGTGCGTGTCACAACGGGAGAGGCGGCCCGGTACCCTCAGAGCTGACCAAGCAATGGTGTCCCCCAAACTCGTCCATGGAAGCAGGAGTGCCAGGCTGGAAGTGGCCAGTGAGCTGTGGTCCTCAGAGTCTGGCGGCCGCTGACCTGCCACAAGCCTGGATTGTAGAGGGTGGGCCAACCCAACAAGGTTGGGGGAAGCGAAGATGAGTCAATTCTGGCATGATCCTGGAGCCACTGCAGCCTCAGGGGTCCGAGAAGCTTCTTTTTGTCCCCCGGGTCTTGAGTCCACCTGAAGAGGTGAACCGGGACAAAGGGGCACTAGCTTCGGGCAGGGCCCATAGGCCCTGCTGTAACCGCTCCCTCCGTCCGCGCCCTGCCTAGCCAGTCCCCACGCTTACCAGCACCCAGTGCAGAAACCACACTATCTGCGTGGGAAGGAAGTCACAAAAATAACTATTTTTAAGTAGTTGAGCATTTTCCACCAAGACAGTTTAGTGTAACGTTGGAAATGAGAAGATTGTGCCGAGAGCTCTCCCTGCTAGGACTGCTGCCGCCACTCGTGCCAGGGGCGTGGCGCCCATCACCGCAGTGACCTCTGCAGCTCTCCCTGCTACGGTGGCCTTTGGCCTCCGTTAAGGGCACCGAGTCCACTACCCAGCGCCTCTGAGACTCCGACCACCCCTTTTCCCCTCCTGGCGAGCCACTCAGGCACCCATGGTCCTGGCCTGCAGATTCCCTCCCAGGTTCTGGCTTGTTCGTGTTTGGGATTTGCTGTTTATTTGTGTTTTCTTTTTCCTCTGTGTAAGAACCAAGCCAAATGAAAAAGGTGAGAACAGATTTCTGAGTCACTAAAATGAGGCTTCGGGATTCGCTGCTGGGAAGAAATGGGTTTGCTGGAGCTTGCCTGTGGCTGGAGGGTGGCTGTCTCCCTGCCCCCAGGCCGCCTGTGTGTCGGTCACTCGGCTCCTGGTCCCTGCTCTTTACCTCCCTGGTCCTGCAGAGAGATTGGTTTGAGATCACCAGTATCGTTCAGCTAATGCTCTTATTTCCACTAAAAAAAAAAACGGTCTGCAGAGGGCACGTTGCAAGATCTATGTGGACAGAAACCCCTTATTGGTAACGCAGAGTCCAAACAGAGGAGAAGGCTTTTCTTTGGCTTTGGGGTCAGTTTCTTACTTTCTAGAGACAAAGAGCAGACCTCACTTAAAAAATGAGAACCAACTCGAATGTGAGAATGTGTCTGAGAAGAAGAAAGGATTTTTCCCAGAGCTTTTAGTGTAGTGAATAAGTACAGTTGGTGCAGGTGAATGACCTGTTTTCCTCCAAAAGCCTCAAATTCTGCTTGCCCTGGAGTGACATCAGCGAAGGACTGTCACCGTCTCGGGGTCCATACCCATGGCCCGGCCTCCAAGAGAACGCAGCTCCCCTGCGAAGGGCTCCTGGGCGCCACTGCACACGTGCTGCCTCTGTTTCCATGCTGGGTAGACTGCACTACTTGTTCTAGAATCAGTTGCCAAAAACGGTGGTGAGGCTCTGCCTGTAAAGAGAGCCCTGTCCACTCGTGGCTGCACATCGGCAACAGGCCAGGCTCAGGCCGCTCGTCTGGGCCGCTGAGCGGCTGGCGCACTCCCGTTTGCCCGCAGCCTCTCTGCCTCCTTCACGATACCTCTGCCTGGAAGCAATGTTATTTAATAGAATAACTTAAATTATTTCATTGTGCTGCTATGAAGATGGGATTGACCCAACGGCACCGCCGAGGCAAGGGCAGAATTCACCCACAACGATGGTCTCTTGCTGAGTTTCTGTCCGTTATTTTCAGATCGTTTTCCTGTATTTTACAAATTCCTTTTATAAGTTCCTTTCTGGGGGCCTTGTTTCCACGTTAGGGTTTTAGAAGCGCTCTGGACGCGGCTTTCCACCCGCATGCTCACAGCCCCAGGGGTACTGCCCGACTTCTGCTCCTTGCCTTTTCATACCAAAAGCTGCTACCTTTGGTGTCCGAGGGAGGGCCTGGAATCGGTGCTATGGGACGTCTTGGTGGCACCCAGCCCCTGCGGGGTGGCGAGCTGCCTTGTCCCCCTCAGCCTGTGGTTTGGGGTCTACCTGGCTGTACAGGCATTCGGTTGGCGTGAGGGTCCTGGAGCACCGCCGTCCTGCTCGGAACTGCTGCTTCCTCTGTCATCCTTGTCACCCAACCCCAGGAGTTACAGCTACTTCGTAAAATGGGATTTGGGGGTACAACCCCAAGCATTTCCTCTGAACCAAGAAGCCCATTTCACTGACTGTATTTAGGGAAAATAGTTTTATGTCAAAAAGAGAGGAAGATCACTTGCTGAGCTGTCTTTACCCTGCAGGCTTCACAGGACTGTCTGGGGGTGTCTCTGCTGAGGGTTCTTTCTGGGCCAGTCCTAGCCCCCCTCTCCCAGGCTCAGGCCCGAGCTCATCTCTGCTACTGGAGGCCATTCCTTCATCTGCCTGCAGAACCACGTCTGGGGGAAGGTCAGCATGGAGGGGCTGCTGCCCAACTGGCCAGCCCAGCCGAGCGGAGTCCCCAGGCATAACTAGAGGTGCTGCCTGGTGTGGGGCTGTGCTGGCTTCCTCCAGGGGTGGTGAGCAGGTTGAGGGGCACAAGGCAATTAAGTAGTGAGAGGGCAGCAGGATTTGTTAAGTGTGACGAACCTCCGTGCCTGCATCACATCAGTGAATGTCTGTAGCAGCTGCTTGTGAGAAGCCAAGCTCCTGGTTGGAGAATGTTCCCAGAATGTCCAGCCCCAGCAGGTCAGTGACAGGAGACCCTCCTGCAGGGGGCTGTTATCAGGAAGGACCAAGCATTCACCAGGGCCAGCGTCTGCATTGCACTTTTACACACGACTGAAACGAGAATCTGAGTTCATGAGCCTGGAGGGTCATCCTAGTGGCTGGTTTGGGCTGCTCATGATTTTAGAAGAGAGTTAAGGGAGCACTCGCTTTAGTTCTGGGCATCTTCCCAGGGAGAAACCCCACTCCAAGGATTTCATTCATTCTTTGCCACCTGCTTGTCATTCTTGTAGCAACTGGGAAAATGAGAAGAAAACTTCTGGGGCCAGTGGGAGGCAGCAAACATGTTTCTTTACTTTGGTTGACCAGGCGAATGCTGGCTGTCCTGGACCCCCGCAACCCCCACCAGACCCCCTTGAACTGGCGTCTTCAGGTTACATTTTCCAGATTTTAGTCACCCAGTCGCTTCCAAGGGTGACTGAAGAGTGACTCTCACGTTTCTGTCAAAAGAGAATTGGAAGAATTCTGGCTCATCATTCTTTATTAGGGGATCTTTTCTGGAGTAGTTTGCTAATTTGGCCCATCCAAATGTTCATTGATGGTTTACTCTGTGTCAGAAACAATAAAAGGTGTCGGGGAGGTCAGGCCTGAGTGGGACGTGGCCACTTAGCCTTTCAACATGCCCCAGTGATGTTTAAGTGGCCTGGTGTATTAAAAAGATGTGTGTTTTATGCAAAGACTTCCCTTACCTGCAGTAAATAGGACTTGCTCTTCTGAGTTATTGCCCAGAGTCCCAAGGAGCGTCATGGCCTGTCCCCTGAACGTGTGGCTGAGCAGGAATGAGGTCTGTGGCTCTGAAATGGACTTTTTCCCCTTGCCTGGCTGAAGGATATTAAACTGAGCCTGTGGCCTCTTAAGCTCTACATTTAGGAGTTAACTGGTCCAGATTTTTGTTTTTAATCAGTAAAAATGGGATTTGAAATCAAACATTTTTAAGTTTGGTCCGTCCCTCCTTCCTGATGCACCTTAATTTACATGCTCAGGTTCTGTCAGGATGGGGGGCGGGGGGCGGGGGATGGACAAATCCTGTCCCAGATTCTCATTCAGATCCACAGAGTTCAGACCCAGCAGCTCAGTGCATGTGAGGGAGGATTGAACCCAATACTGAGATTTTTTTTTTCCTTATCTGACCGCTAATTCTCCTGTAAAGGTAATTGGGGGGGGGTGGGTGCTGTTGGGGGTGTGTGTATGTATGTGTGTGTGTGTGAGCGAGTGTATGTAATTTTTTTTTTACAGTGGCTGTCTAAAGTATTTTTTACAATATGTTCAATAATCAGTGCTTTAAAAAGCAGTGGTATCCTTCAAAGTGGAAATTTAGGTTCCAGAGCCTTGGATGTGAAGTTGAGGTCATATTGCAGTGTTTCACCACCTGTAAGTAAAATCTAGTCTGGGAAACCCAGGAAGGCTTGCAGACACCCCGGCGCGGTGGCGGAAAGATGACAGACCCACAGCAGCTGGGCCAACCTGCGTTTCCATTTCAAATGGGATACAGTATTTTTTTAATAAGGAGCCATACTTTTTTTTAAAAGTTTGAGATCTGAATGTGATTTCTAATTGTATCAGACATTAATGTTTTAAAGCTATAACAAAGTTTAAAATTTCTACTTTTCGTTTTTTCATTTATTTTAACTGTCCTTTTATCTATTAAATTGTTGTATGTGGATGGGGAAGTTTTGTTTCTCCTCTTAGCATTTGTTTCTATAACCAGAAATAAAATTATATATTAAAGAAATGACACTGGGGCTCTTCATGGTCCTTGTAGGTTAGTAGCTGCTGTGGGACAGACAGACACATGGGCAGATGGGGTCGTTAATGGAGACATGCTTCCCCCCCCCCCCCCCCCCCCCCCGTCCTGCGGTGGCTCGCTTCTACGAAGAAGCACGCTGACAACGGACACGATCTGTGGAAGGTACCTGTGGTTTCCCTCAATATCATGTCTGCAGCTCCAGAGACATGGAGGAACCAGGGGAGTCTCCCCCACTCCAGACACCCACAGCTTGGCTGGGGGGCGCCCACAGGTGCCACAGCTGCAGAAGCAGACCTTGGGCATATGTGGGTCCTTCCTGCTAGCTACACAAGACTGCCCCTTTGTACATGTTCTCTCTGGCCTCACTTGCTCCAGGTACTGAGGTGGTCGGGCATGGACTCTGCACTCAGACAGACTTGGGTTCAAGTCCAGCGGGGGAACTTTAACCTGCGAGAAGCTCCATTTCTTCACGTGCAGAATGGCACCCCCATCTCACAGAATGTTCTGTGGATTCGGTCACATGATGTCAGCTGCAGTGACATCAGCCTCTTTTCTCGGTGCCTGCCAGATTCATAATTAAATCACTGTAAGAAGATGCTTGGGTGTTCTTCCTGCAGACTACCTCTGACTTGGGATTTAATAAAAATGAGTGTTTTTCACAAATACACCTTTTGCCAAGGTTCTCAGCAGGGCTTGAAACTCCACCGGTGCGTCTCTGTCTGAGACACCTCATTCTTAGATTTCTTCCCCCTTTTCTGGCCAGTCCTCAGCTGGCCGTGGACCAAGGCTACAGACATTGACCTGGAGCCCAGCTTCTGGATCAGATCCCTCCTCCGCTTACAGGGCTGCGACCTCGGGCACCCTAACCAGTTTTTCCGCTTCAGACAACTCATCCTGCAAATGGTGGTACTAAAGCTCTGCTCAGAGTTGTCCCTCAGGTACATGAGACCCCTGATGCACTGCGCTCAGCATGCAGCGGGCTCTCCAGACTGCCTGGAACCGGGCTTCCTTTGCTGGTTTCCTTCTTCACTCAGTGGCTGCCCCGGGGTCTGGAGGTGCCCACCTCACCGTGCTCTCTGGGCAGTAGCACCCCCAGCCTCACCACCACTAGCACCCACCTCCTCATCCTCAGCACTAGTCGCCCTCAGCATCTCCACTTGGGCTCCGTAAGGGCATCTCAAAACCACCGAGTTCAGAATTCCCACGCATGAAAGCCTAGTCGGTCCCCCTGTGTCCCTCTATTCAGGTGTCTTGTCACTGCTCAGCCCGCCCAGGCCTCCCTGACCCGCCCTATGCAAAGGACATCCAACTTGCCCACTGCGCGATTGATGATCGGCTTTATCTTCCCATTCCTAGCATTTGTCACTACTAAGCTTACGTGTATGTCTGTATATTTGATAATTGTCTTCGTTGGCTGTGAATTCCATGAGGGCAGGGACTTGGCCTCTCCTGGTTACTATTCCCCAGAACCAAAAACACTGTCTAACACAGCCTGGGGACTTAATCATTGCTTGATTGTTGAATGAATGAGTCCACAAACTTCCCTGCCCCTCCTCCTCCCCCAAATCCATCAATCGCCAAGTCCTACAAATCCTACCCGAGTGGTTACTGAATCTACCCACTTCTCCATTGCCCTGGACTTGACCTAGCTCAGGCAACCTCGTCTCTCCTGGACCACTGCACCAGCCTCCTCCTTCCCCGCCCTCCCACCACCTCCCCTCCATCCATTCTCTATCCTGCTGCCAGGCATGAGGGTCAAGCCACAGGAAGCCTCCAGTACCTTCACCTAGGCCTTCCCCTCCCACCCCTTGGTCTAACACTCCCTGGGCTCATCTTAGGATCTGGTCCCTCCAAAAGTCTTCCTCCTGTCGGACCCTGCCCAGTTTAGGTTGTAACAGCATTTATCTCCCTGGATTGTCACTGCCGGGAGCGTGACCCTGTATCCCCACGCAGTCTGCGGGGTGGAAATACTGGCCAAAACATCTTTTAGAATTACTGGAAATTGACTTTCTCTCTGAGCCTGTTGTCTCAGCTGTAAAATAGAGATACCACTAGCCTGTGGCTATGGTGGGGATTGAATACGGTTTTCAACATCTGCACGTACAGCCTATGATAGGTGCTAAATAAATGGAAGCTTTAAAAATAAAAAACTAAGAGCCGCAGCTGCGCCTTGCCAACTGCTGGACACGCATCCAACGGCGCCGTGTTTATGAAACAACCTACAATTAAGGCCACGGCGCCCGGGCGCCCCGCGTCCCAGATCCCGGGATGCCGAGGTGCCAAGGTGCTGGGGTCCCGGGCTCCCCAGTCCCCGAAGGTGCCCAGGAGCGGACCTGGACCCCGCAGCTGTAGCGCAGACGGCCCCGCCCCGAGAAGCTCCGCCAAAGCCCATTGGTCGGCGGCCTGCCCGCCCTCCCCACGTGACGCGGCACGTGCCGCTACCCGGAAGCCGGCGGTGCTGCGGCCCCGGACGCCCCGGAGTCGCGAGCGGCGGGAGCGCGCCGGCGGGATGTTCTCGGCGGGGGCGGAGAGCCTGCTCCACCAGGCCAGGTGCCCGCGTCGTTCCCTCGGAGGGCCCGGTGGCGGGTCTCAGAGCGGGGCCCGGGCGCGGCGACCCGGGGGAGCCGGTCTAGACCCGCCTTAGAGACGCGGGGGGCGGGGAGGCCACGCCGGCCAGGCCCGGGGTGAGGCGGCCCGGGGACAGTGGCGCTGGTCCACGGAGGAGGCGGCACCAGAGCCGCGCCCTGAGATGAGCGGGAAGGAAGTGGGACGGGACCCCGCTGACGGGGGCCGCAGGCTCGCGGTGAGAACCCCCCGCCGGCCGGAAGTGGTGTGGCCAGAAGCTGTCGGTCGCGCCGGGGTCGGAGCACAAAGGCGCAGAGGCCGGAGAGCCTGCTGGTGTTGCATGAGTCGTGGCCACCCGGGCGTTGGACGCCATCTGACGGCTTTGGGGGGCCATGGATTTTGTGATTTAGAAACATGGCTCCGCCTACGGGTTGAGAAATGACCCACCGTCTTCCGGCCTCCGACGGGCTCTGGACTCCTACTAACGAGGCGGTAGCCCCTTCCTCATGGGGGGAAGCAGACTGTAGGCAGGACCAAAACCCCACGGTCCGTAAAGTAGTCTAAGACTTGATGCTACGCGTTGAAAAGAAGAAAACGCGGTCCGAACCACAAGCTCATGGTAAACTTAAAAAAACAAAAGCAAAAGCCGGAATTCTGAGCTGGACCACTTGGGAAAGATTAGAGGATGGTTGAGGCTGCTGTGATTGTGGTGAAGCAAGACCCCGCATGCAGGTCAGGTGCTAACCTGTGAACAGGGCACAAATAGACGGTCAGAATAACCCCTGAAAATCTACAAGGAGTGCTTCATGCGTTTGCAGCACCATCTCCCAATAAGTCCAAAAGAGCCTGTATTTCCTTCAATATTGGACAGATAGTTCAACATTCTAATTCAAGTTCGCTTGAATTTTGGGACTGTACTAAAATTATCATAGATAGCTTTAAATACTAGCATCTCACTCAGCATGCAACATGTTCACCCCCAAGGTCTTGCCGAGAGACACCTCAGGACTGAGGCCCACTCAGGACTTCGCTGGTTTACCTTTCCAACTCACTTTATACTTAAGATTGTTAATTTGTGAAATGAACAGCAGAAGGAATAGCCCTCACTATTTAAATTTTTTTTTCTTTTTTTTTTTTTTTTAGCTGAGCCATCCTGCCACCTGTTGGCAGCTCCGCTCGGGCTGGGAATCGAACCGGCAACCCTGTTGCTCAGAGCTTGCACTCTTGAGCGAGCTCTTAACCAACTGAGCCACTCGGCCGGCCCTAAATTCTTATTTCTCCATCTCTCTGGGTGGGTGGGTGGATTGAGGGCAGTGTATGCTGAAATATCTATAAGTAAAATGTATGAGTTATGCAGTTCCTCTCGGCTAGGATTTGAGGAAAGTTAATAACTATCGGTGAGGTCTTACTTACTAGCTTTCACTATATAGTTTACTTTAATTAAGCCTGTGATTTTTGGTGGCACGTTATATAGCTAAGGTTTGGGAGTTAGGATTTGGATTGAATTTTCCTTTTCAAAATTTTCAGAGCTAGAAAGCAAGAGTGGCAAAAGTTATTTGCGACATCTCTTGTACGCTGAAGAAGAGGTGAAGAAAGTGGGATTCGGACAGGGGCTGGATGGGTGGGTGGGTGCTGCAAGGTCAGGGGAGGTTTCCAGGACAAGCCAATAACCAGAAGCTCAGAACGAGTGAGGAGTTAACCGGCGAGGGAAGGCGTCAAGGCTGTTTCAGGTAGAGGGCCTGTGTACAGGGCCGGGAGCAAGAGAAAAACGGACTTGAGGCTCGGGAAGGAGCAGGGCAGGGTTAGGGCCTCCTACGCGTCGTTCGAGTCTGTAGGAGTTTGGGTTTGAAAGCAGTGGGGAGCTGTGGGACGGTCTGAGCCGACTAGCCTTATGGAAGGAATCCTATGATGAGAATATATGGGCAGGGATTCATTTGGGATGGGCAATACCGCCGTTCTGGGAAAGATTTTCCATTCTAATTGTGAGACAGTCTGGGAGCTTCTCCCTTAGTCTCATTACCCCAGTTAGAAACAGACCTGGACCAGGCCTCCGGGGGAGGCGGGTGGGAGGGAGGTGAGGAGTGGTGGAGAGCCCAGTGACGTGTGTCTGCCGGCCTTTGCGAAAGAACAGGGAACACAACCCCACCTTCAGATGTTCGCCAGACCTTCTTGTCAGCCCCAGAAGTGGGACCACTCTGTCTCTCTCAGGTCAAAATTTCAGATTCCTGAGCTCAAATATCTGATCGGTCCAGAATGGATTTAGTGGACTTCAGCGATGGCCTGGGGGTAGGCATACATAGGGGGCCCTTCTCTGAGAGCCCCCCAGAAGTCCCTAATACAGTGACTCATTGACATGTAACCTTTTCTTGCTTTTTAGACTGGAATAGAAACGTACAAACAGGTTTCCATTTTGAGACTGCTCAATATCTTACCTATTGCCAATGCTCAATAAATACATTTTTAATTAATAAGCAAATTAAGTATTAGAGTAAGGAACTCTGTATAGTAGGCTTACCTTATCATGCGTCATAATATTTGCCCTTTAATATATTACATTTAAATCTTGTTTCCAGAAGTGAAAGTCTCACTGAAGAAATCTTTTAGAAATAACTTATTTCACATTAAATCTCCCTTTTTTTTTTAATTAAAATTTATTGGGGTGACAATTGTTAGTAAAGTTACATAGATTTCAGGTGTACAATTCTGTAATACATTCACTATATATCACATTGTGTGTTCACCACCCAGAGTCAGTTCTCCTTCCATCACCATATATTTGATCCCTTTTATATCTATATCATTAGTGAAATCTCCCTTACTTTTGACTCCTAAACTCAATCGGCTTTAGTTCTGCTCCTGGAGTAACTAACCCTGAATGTGTAGAGTCTCCATTAGTGAGGTTTGCTGTTGTTGTAAACTGTAGGGTTGATGTCTCCCCGACAGCCCTGTCCGGCAGGAGACGGGAGTAGCCCATGGATTGCCGAGACCCAGGGAGAGGAACCAGGTCCAGGAGCCACCAGCTCGTTTGTCACAAGAGGCGCGTCATGAGTGGTGCAATCACCTTCTCCCTTTGACACCTGGGGCTCTCTCTGCTCAGTAGTGGTTTTCCCTGCATCCGTGCGAGTCATCCTGTCGCAGTTCAGGCAGCATTTCTGGGTCCCTCGACAAGGTCTCTTGATGCCAGGTTGCTGACAACACCTTCTTTGTTTAGGGAGATCCAGGGTGAGGAGCTGAAGAAGTTCTGTTCCCGGGTCAGTAAGCTGCTGCAGAAGGAGGACTTGGGGTCTGATGCCGTCGACGCCCTACGGAGGCTTTTCCTCATTGTCTCGGCCACAAAATATAACAGGAAGTGAGTGTGGTCCCTTTGGGTATGGCAGCCCTGGGCAGGCTCCCAACAGGCGCATGCAAACCTTTGGCGTTTGGTCTGTATCCACTTAAAACAGTGCTAAAGGTCCTCAAATAGAAAAGTTCTGTCCACCTGCCCGAGGGACCCGGGCCACCTCTCTGGGGTGGGAGGAGAGGGCCTGAGCTCTGGTAGCCAGGCACTCTTGTGGTAGCATGATGTGCCACCCGCCCGCTGTGGTCTTGCCGCCCCAGGCTGGAGAAGACGTGTGTGGACCTGCTGCAGACCACCCTCTGCCTACCCACCTGCCCTGAGCAGCTCCAGCTTCTCTGTGCCGCCATCCTGAGAGAGATGTCCCCCTGTGACAGCCTGAGCCTGTCCTGTGACCACATCCAGAACACACGGCAGCTGAGCCTGGTGGCCTCTGTGCTCCTGGCCCAGGTAACACAACTGTCACCACTCAGGTTGGCCACCCTGCCCTTGGTGGAGCTTGGGTCCCCTCCATTCTCCAGATTCTATGGCTGCCTCGGGCGTGCCAGCGCTTGGATGCATCTGGACCGAGCAGAAACACGTGCCCCCTTCCTCTCCTCATCTTCCCTTCTTCCCCCTTGTTCCTAAGGAAGTAGCCAGGACTCTGCAGGCTAATGAGGCCGCAGGGCCTGGGCTGCTCTGGTGACATTCCTAGAGGCCCATAGGCAGTGGCACGATGGCATCAATGGTGCAGAAGAGTGGCAACCTTCAGAATTTGACAGCCCCCTTTCCAGATGTCAGACCAAACAACTTGTCGCTCAGGCACGTGGGCAAGTCAGCCTTCATGTTCCACTTGTGGCTTGTGTTTGATATGCAGGGTGACAAAAAGCAGGAGGTCACAAATATGGGCCTGCGTGTCTTCAAAGTCCTCGAGAGCCGGCAGCCCGAGGGGCCGAGTCTGAGGCCCCTCCTCCCGGTCCTGTCCAAGGTCGCCAGCCTCGCCCCAGGCACCCTCCACAAAGGTACCCACCCTTCCTGGGAGGCCTGTGCCGATGGCACAGAATAGAGATGAGCCCACGCTGGAGGGAAGGAGTGACAGGATGTCGCTGTGTCTGTGTGGGTGTCGGGAGGCCTGAGAGCCTGGGACTCGTCGGGAGCAGCTTGTTTTCCAGAAAGACCCACCCGGTGCCTCGTGCAGCCTGAGTGGGATTGAACTCGTCTCCCACAGCGTTGCCCCACCCTCTCTGTAGACCAGACCAACCTGCTCAACAAGAGGCTGGTGGACTGGCTCCGCTACGCCAGCGTCCAGCAGGGCCTTGCACATTCTTCCGGAGGCTTCTTCTCCACGCCGAGGGCCCGGCAGGTGAGGCTGGAGAGACTCGCAGCGCCTCCCTGTCCCTGGGCCACCTCCACCAACCTTGCCCACAGGGTCCCATTGACTTCCTGTCCCCCCACCTGCCCTGCTTCCAGAATGATCCCTGTTTCCTGTCTCCACTTGATGGTGGGTCGGGGAGCTTTGGGTCACAGAGGCTCAGCCCGGGACGTTCTGTGCATCTGTTGAGCTCGGGGCTACTTATCTGACAAAGGGCCGTGTTCTTAACGCCAGTGCCAGCATGTATGCACCTGACAAAGGGTGGGTGCCCCCTCATTCTGGAAGGGTGTGGATGAGCCCGTTGGCCTTTCCCGGCCTCAGCCCTACACCCGCCTCAGCTCGGGACCCTGCAGAGCTGCCTGTCCTTCCTTGCCTCCCGCAGCCAGGTCCTGTGATGGAGGTGGATGGGGCTGTGGCCACAGACTTCTTCACGGTGCTGTGCATGGGCCAGCACTTCACGGAGGACCAGTGGCTGAACGTGCAGGCCTTCTCCATGCTTCGGGCGTGGCTGCTGCACAGCAGCCCCGAGGGCGCAGGCACCCCAGACACAGGTGGGACGTGGTGGGACATGGTGTGCCCCTGGGAAATGTTGGCCACCTTGGCTGAGCCTCGGTGGCGCCAGCAGGCCCTTCCCAGACATGTCAGAGCAGCCCAAGTGCTCATCTCGAGCACACATCAGCAGGGTTACTCAGACATCGTCACTGAACTCCTTCTCCTCCGCAAACTGACGGGCAGCTCAGTCTGGACTTTGCAGGGAGAACCTCAAGTGCACAGAGGGTGTCCAGTGAGGGTGGAGGTGGCCGGGGTGAGAGGGCATTGGGCCCAGTGCCCGGGGGTCTGCAGTGGCGGCTCTCTTCACACCCTCTGGACGGACAGCCTCCACATATGAAGCCGACTGTCACCCAGCTGCGCCCGTTCGCCCTCTTCCAGATGACAGATCCGAGCTGGAGGGCTCCACCCTGTCTGTGCTCTCAGCCGCCCCCTCCACCAGCCGCCTGCTGCCCCCTCAGGAGCGACTGAGGGAGAAGGCCTTCGAGTACTGCCAGCGCCTCATCGAGCAGAGTAACCGGCGTGAGTCCCCTGGGTGCCATCCCCGCTTCCGCAGCGTCATGCTGGGGGCAGCTCACGGGAGCCTCGAGCCCCGGCAGAACCTTTTTTCCAGGGAGCTTTTCGTTTTCAGGCATAACCCCCAAGGAGCACAGCACTGGACAGAGCCCAGCCCCAGGCTCTTCAGAGCTGCGTCCCCCAGCATCAGTCCCCACCTCACAGTGCCCTGGGGGCAGCCCTCTGGCCAGCTCTGCCCTGTCCCTCTGCTGCCAGCTGGTTCACCACCCACCCCTTGAGCTTGCAGAGCACAGCACGCCCTCTCGTTTGGCTGCGTTCACGCTGGTACAGAGACTAGTTGACTGCCTTCCTTCCCCCAGGAGCCCTGAGGAAGGGGGACGCAGACCTGCAGAAAGCTGTAAGTGCCAGGCAGGGCAGGCGGGGCGGTTGGGGGCTCACCTTCCCCCCTGAGCATGGCCTCGGGTCTCCACAGTGCCTGGTGGAGGCCGTGCTGGTGCTGGACGTGCTCTGCAGGCAGGACCCCGCCTTCCTGTACCGCACCCTCTCCTGCCTGAAGGCCCTGCGAGCGCGGCTGTGCGGGGACGCAGCCAGCGTGCGGGCGCTGCTGCCCCTCGCCCACTTCTTCCTGAGCCACGGTGAGCCTGGTCTCACACCGGTTTCGCGCGTGGGGCCCGAGGGAGGGCAACTCCGTGCGTGGTCAAGGGCAGCCCTTCCCTCCTGTTGCTCGTCTTCCTTTGCTTGTAGACTGTCATTGCTCTGAGGGACTGTTAGCACTAGATGGTGGTAGTTTTTAAATAGATTTATGTAGCGAATTAAGGTGTCATCCGCTTGATGTCGCTCTTAGAACTCCCTTTGCCCTGAGAGTTTATGAGAGTTTCATGGAAGGTTTCCTGAAATCAGCAGCTGCCAAAGAACGGTCCACCTCGAGTTACTCAGAGGGATTGGTCTGTGGCCAGAGCCACTTGGGAAGAGCTGAGTACAGCTCAGCCAGTTTTCCTCTTGCAGGATGGCCATCCCAGAGCCTTTGGTGTCCTAGGGACACGTGTGGCTGAGACTCTGAGGGGCCCTGACCAGCAACACAGGTTCTCATGACGAGGTGCAGATGCTTCTGCCGGGCCCTCAGCCCTCACGGACCTGATACCTTTCAGGAGAAGCAGTCGCAGTGGACTCAGAAGCCGTGTGCCAGCACCTGTTCACCAGGACCCCTTCCGAACTCTTCCACAGCCCGACGCTGGCCTTCGAGTTCGTCCAGTTCTGCAGGGACAACCTCCCCCTGTTTGGCAGAAACCTTGGTGTTCTCAGGTTGAGCTTCCCCAGCCTCTTTAAGGCACGTTCGCTGGTCCCTGGGCCAGAGTGGGGCTGGGTGCCTGGGCAAGTCCTGGCTGTGACCAGAGGGCTTGGGGCAGGTGGCCTGGGATACAGGGCAGAGGGCGAGGTGGGGTACCCTGGGGTGTCCACATGTACAGATTTTAGCCTCCATCCTGGCAGCCTTGCCTGGTGTGTTCAGTTCTTTGGTGCCATTGGCTTTGGATGTGTCTTCTGTGACTGGCAGTCACTGCGTGGCCTTTTCAAAGTCAACTGGAGACTTAGTCCCTTAATTAGAGAAAAAGACAACAGTGACAAGTGGGAAGTGGTTTAATTGTTGGCACAAAAGTGAATGCAGAAGCAAAAAGAATAGAGAGAGAAAAAGATTGAAGGGAGTATTTTCAGAGCCCTGGATCGCAGTGACGCATGAAAAGGTGAGGGGACCGATGCAGACAGCCCTGCCTCATGGCAGCACGTCGGTGGCAGCAGTGACGAGGTTGTGACCTGCTTTCTCTCTCCCTCTGTGCTGCCCTGTGGGCCCCCGGCTGCTGGTCCCACTCTTGGGCTTTGAGCCGCGTGCACAGCCTCCTGGTCCCCGTCTGAGCTGCTCTGCTTGTCCCGCAGTTCCTGGCCTGGAACAGCCCGCCCCTGACCGCCGAGTTTGTGGCGCTCCTCCCGTCACTGGTGGATGCCGGCACGGCTGTGGAAATGCTGCACGCGCTGCTGGACCTGCCGTGTCTGACCGCGGCCTTGGACCTGCAGCTCAGGTCAGCCTGAGGAGTGCCACCTGCTCATGTGTGCCTGGCCCCTCTCCTTGTGATCCCAACCGTGTCCCTCCAGCATGGGACCCTCCTCATTCTCCCCTGGCTGTCCTGTGCTCTGCAAAGCGAGCTGGCCACCCTGGAGCCCTCAGCCTGCCTTCCACTCAGCCGTGAAGCCGCCACCTCCATCCCCTCCCCCGCCCCACTGCCATGGCCCCTGCCCCCACCCTGCAGGTGCCGAGCCCCCAGGGCCCTTTCTGGTCACTCTGAGGCTCATCACTGGGCCAGGACACTGTGATGTTATGGTGACATCTGCTTGGGCCTCTCCCTGACCAGTGGGTGCCTGTGAGGGCAGAGGCTGAGTTGGGTCTCGATTGGCCTGTGCCCAGAGCCCATGTCTGAGCCTGGCCTTGGCGGGTGTCCACTCACAGGTCATCTCCAGCTGCATCCGAGAGGCCGCTCTGGGACGCCTCCCTCAGGACCCCCAGCTGCCTGGAGGCCTTCCGGGACCCTCAATTCCAGGGTCTCTTCCAGCACCTGCTGCGTGCCAAAGCCAGCGGAACCGCAGAGAGGTAGGGGTCCCTAAGACTGGGGAGCCCCTGGGACAGGGCTGTGTGTGGCTGCAGCGCATTCCCAGGGCAGCTGGGCCCTGGCGTCCACCCCCAGGCCTAGCACCTTCTGACCTGGACAGATAGCTGCAGTCACCCCCACCATAGCAGGCACCAGCCACGGCACCCAGAGCTCGGCTCTGTCAGGTACGCGAGCCAGTCCTCGTAACCCTGCAAGGTAGGCACTGTGGTGGCTCCATTCTGCAGATGGAGAAACTGAGGCTCAGCACCGCCCAGGACTGAAATGAGGCCTCCTCACCCCAGACACCTCGACTCAGCCCCACGCCAGCCCTCCCTGGATCCCGTGGGAGCAGGGCCATCCTGAGGAGCAAGGGGCTAACAATAGGAGTGGGACTTGGGAGTGCGAGATATGCATGGTGACAGGGTGACAGTGACCTCCTTTGATGAAGGCAGTGCAGGCGGTTTCAGAACTTGGCTAAGGCCACAGCACTCAGACCCTCCTCTCTTCTCACAGGCACTGACCTGTGGGGTTACAGGGGTTCATGTGCTCAGAGCGTGTCTTTGAGCACCAGATAGGGTGGGGGTGTGGACGGGCACTTAGTGGGCCACGCCGTGTGTCCCCCAGGTTGGCGCCACTCCACCAGCTGCTGCAGCCCATGGCCAGCTGCGCCCGGGTGGTCCAGTGCGCTGAGGCTGTGCCCACCTTGCTCCAGGCGTTCTTCTCAGCAGTGACCCAGGTGAGCCTCTGCCTGTCCCCATTCCCATGGCCTCGCACCATGGCAGAAGGCCGTCCTGGAGCACGGACCGTGGCCTTGCCCTTGACCTTCGCAGAGCTTCAGCTGAGGATCGGTGAGAGTCACCGAGGAAAAACCAGCACGTCTAGCCGCAGCCAGGGTGCCGGCCCTCCTCCCCAGGACAGAGGGCACTTGAGTGGCCCCCAGGCCGGCAGAAGCCGCTCGGGGGTGGGACTGAGCCTGTCTCTTGCACTTGACTCCCAGCTCACTGACAAGGCCCTGACCAACCAGCTGGCACTGCTGCTCTTGGAGAGAACTGACTCGCTTTACCAGGTCCCGGGGTACGAAGCCAGCGTGCACAGGTGGGTCCCTCCTGTCGGCCACCTGTGGGACTTCACCCCTCCCGGTTTCACTGCCCCTTACACTTAGCTTGTCACAGCTTCCATCCCCCACCGCCCCCTCTGGCTGCTACAACACTGCCACACCGGCATCGTCCCAGGCCCAGCCTAGGTGCTGCACAGACCCCTCCATCCCAAATCCAGAATGTTCCCACGTCCTCCCCTCCTCCCGCAATTATCTTCAGCGCCGGCCCAGGTCGCTCTTGCACAGGGCCTTCCAGACCGCCTGTCCCCTGTCTGAAGGCCTGACACTTGCAGGCATGGCTGCGCTCCACTTTCAAGCCCAGGACCGAGACCAGAGCAGGTCCTGGCCTCCTCCGCAGTGGGGCGATAGGCCCGCCTGCTGCTCAGGGCTCTCCCGTCCGCCTCCTGGCCCTTGTTCTGGATGGGCTGGGGGTCCGGGGTCGCGAGGGGTGTGCTGCAGCCTGTGAGCATCCTCTCCGGGCAGGGTGCTGAGCTCCCAGTTCCTGAGCCTGTGCATGCGGCACCCCGCCCTGGTGGTCGAGCAGGCGAAAGAGCTCCTGGAATTCGTGGGCAGCAGCAGCGGCTTGCGCAGCGGTGCGAGCATGCTCACCTCTGTGGTAAGCCAGGCTGTGCCCCGTCCCCTCCTGATGCGGGAGGTCCTGGACGTGGGCTGAGGCGCTGTCCCCACCTAGGTGTGGGCCATCGGCGAGTACCTGTCGGTGTGCTGGGACCGGCGGTGCACCGTGGAGCAGATCAACAAGTTCTTCGAAGCCCTGGAGGCCCTGCTGTTCGAGGCCACCCAGTCCCGCCCCTCTGCCGTCTTTCCCAAGTGCCCCCCACAGGTCATCACTGCACTTATGACCACACTGACCAAGCTGGCCTCCCGGAGCCAAGACCTGATCCCCAGGTACCGGTTAGGAGTGGGAAGAAGGAGCCTGTGGGGGACAAGGGGCAAGGAAAGTGGCTTTGGGGACAACCCTGTCCCAGAGGGTCAGCAGCACAAGGGTTTTGGTTGGATGCAGGTGGCGTGCTCTATGTCAGCACTGACACCTCGCTTCTCCAAGCTAAAGCCACACTAGCTGGGTGACTTGGTGGCTGAGGCGCTTCCACCAGGCCCCTTGCCTCGTGAGGACTGTGTCTACAGCTAACAGGCTGGGTCCCCCTTGTCCCCAGGGTCTCCCTGTTCCTGTCAAAGATGAGGACCCTGGCCCTGAGCCCAGCCACGAGCTCTGTGCAATGTGAGGAGGACATGGGAGCCGTGCGCACGCGGGCCACCGAGCTGCTGAACCTGCTGAAGATGCCCAGCGTGGCGCAGTTTGTGCTCACGCCCAGCGTGGACGTGTCCGAGCCGCGCTATCACCGTGACGCCAACACGGCCCTGCCCCTGGCCCTGCGCACAGTCAGTCGGCTGGTGGAGAAGGAGATGGGCCTCCTGCCAGGCTGAAGGGGCAGTGACCAGGTGGACGCCAGCCAGGGCCGCAGTTAAGAGCCTGGTATTAGGGCCAAGCTGTGGCTTCAGTGATCAGAAAGGAAATCAGGAAGCCTGAGTCCCGGGGACAGAGGCCCGGTGGGTCTCGGTCCCTCGGTCAGGGCTGTCGCAGTCCCACCCTGTGGACATTTGTGTCTCTAAGCCCCCCCTCCCTTGTGACCATCCTGAGCTATGCGGTGAAACAGCTCTGATTTGTGGCTCTAGGCCCCTTGGGGGCTGGATGGAAGCTGCTTGCTCTGTGTCCTGCTGTTCCTTTTTGGGGGGCAGTTTGGGGGCAAGCAGTGTCAGCAAAAATAAACTTCCTTTGAAAGTTTCTGTGTGAACAAGGCAGGGTTGTTCCCTTTCCCTCCGCCCAGGGGCGAGGGTCAGGTAAAGGGAACCCTGCTTCTGAGCCCCGTGCTGCTGCGCTGGGAGAGCTGGCCCTGGGGATGGAACGGGCTCTCACCTGGCCGGGCCAGACGCCCGGGGCTGTTCCTCCCACTTAGTCCCAATGTGTGTGGGCGAGTGCTGCTCAGCTCCAGTGTCAGGGGTTCCAGAATCGCATCAGACAGGAAGGAAGGGGTGTGATTCTCCCAGAGGCCATAGCCGCCCCAGGTGAAATGCGTTCGGTCAGTGCACCTTCTCATGCTCCCGAATCACTTAAAGATGCTGAGGCTGGGCCTCCCAGGCCTCTGCCGGGTGCGCTGCAGGTGCTGCCACCTTTACAGGCCTGCAGCCTCTTACCATGACAAGCGAGGGCAGTGCCTTCCAAGGAGGGGTCTCCCACCGGCAGGGTGCCCGGCGACCCTGACCCCTGCTGCCGGAAGCCTTATTCCAAGCGGGGAGACACCCGTGTGGTGGGGCCAGAAGCGTCGCCCAGCCCCAGCGCTCCCCACCATTCCATCCAAGTCAGCAGCCGGACTTGCAGAGCAGCGCCCGGACCACCAGGTGGTGCTGCTGCGCCGCGAGCCGCGGAACCCCTGACCCCGCCCCGCGTCCCAGCCCCGGGCAGGTTCGCCCCTCCGGTGCCGTGGAGATCGACGCAGGCCGGGCTCCGCAGGGACTGGGCGCCGACCTGGCAAAGCGTGCCCGCCTCTGCTCTGCCCGGTGTCCGACCTCAGGATGTTTTCCGAGCAGCGACAGGTGACGCGCACACAAAACAGCGGCATTGGGTATCGGTGCGGGCGCGCCAAGGACACCCTGGGAGTGGGACTTGGGAGTGCGAGATATGCATGGTGACAGGGTGACAGTGACCTCCTTTGATGAAGGCAGTGCAGGCGGTTTCAGAACTTG